GGCTTATAAAGGCCTTGAAAATATTCTTTAAAAAGTCCACGCCTTATAAATATTATTTAAAAAGTCCACACCTTATATAGGCTTAAAAAAATATTCTTTAGATAATCCGCGTCTAATATAGTTCTTAGAAAAATATTTCTTAAATAATCCACGCCTTCTTTAAAAAATCCACGCATTCAAATAATATGTGAGGATGAAGAGGAAACTATCGAACATCTACTTTGCCGATGCCCCATGCTTCGATGCAGAAGGTATAAATATTTGGGGAGATTCGAGATAGGAACGCTAAGCTTTTTTTTCAAAATAGATCCCAAAATCATTTACAGCTTCGCTAGGAACCTAAGAGTTTGTTTACTGGAAACATATAATAGAGATCAAAGTTTTGATAGTCACATATAAATGAAGCATCACATTTAGGTTAATTTGTCTGTGTTTTAATATAAGATTATATTGGGATATAGTAAAAATGATAAAAATTTTATTGAAAATGTTATCAGTCCACTACTTTAAATATGACTCTCACAAAGGGACCAATTTTGAAAAAAATTTAAATCTCACACGAAGCGAACGGAATATCAAATTTAATCCTAAACCCGTTACATCCAGATCTAGGTTAAGTCTAAAGTCTCTCTCTATAAATGTATTGCCACTATGGGATGTATCCCACGCAACAGTCAGGATTATTGCATACTATATTGCATACAAAATGTCGTGCACAAATGAATCGTTAACTTCTTTTCTTCGCCAAATCATTCGGTGAGTGGTGAAGACGAGGGAGAAATTTGTAGTGTTTGTAGTTTGTTTAGTATTATGTATTACTTACTTACTGTTATTGGTGTTGGCGCTTTTATTTTTATTTTGTGTGTTTGTTTACTCTGTTTACGCTATGATTTTTTCCTTCTTCTTCTGTTTTATTTATTTTTTTCATATTGCTCGCATTTGAATATTGTGACTTAACACCTTATAAACCATGTCATGATAATAACAAATTTGGGAAATTAAATTGTCAACAGTTAGGAGTGCCTTCTTCATTCTACAAAAACAAGATTTTCACTCGAATCCAGATTAATAAATTTTTGATTTAGAATATTCCTCAGCTCAACGCTGTTCATTGTGTAGTTTGTGTGTGTGAGTGTGTCTGAATTTCTTTACATACACACAATTGTCTATAAAACTTTGCAATACTAAAGAAAACAAATATTTTTTGTGGTGATCAGCATAAATGGCTGAATTAAATTTCTGTGCAATAGAGCGTTGAGACAACGCGCAGCGTGTCGAACTAACAACGACAACAACAACCACAAAAGTGTAGTCATAACAGCAATAAATGCAAACAAATAATAAAATGGCAAATTAAAGAAAAAACATTGTTGTTTTAATTTTTTTAGAACTCACTTCACAGCTAAAAAGAAAAGGCATACAAATTTACAAAAAAAAAATAATAATAATAAAAAATAGCCACCATAAAAACACTCTTTCATAGAGGGTTCAAATCGGACAAGATCACTAGATGGATATTTTGTTTAAAATTATCAATTGTTGCAAATCAATATTTTATGATTCTTCTTCATTTTTCGCCTTTTTTGTAGTTTTAGCCCACGACACTTATCTAATTTGTTCTAGATGAAAGAAACAATGTTGGAAATATCCAAGGTTATGCAAAAACTGACAGATGTTTAGCTTTATAAATTTGTATATACGAGGGTGGATACAGATATACATGTATGGTGGCAAAGTGTGTCTTGAACATAAAATGGATCATAAATTTTGAAGAGCAACATAAATTAGACACTATTGGCTATATTTTTCCATAAAAACTTCCTCTTTGCAATTTCAAAGTTTTTAATTTAACCCACATACAAATAAAATATTGAGTTTGACAAATAGTGGGTTATCCACTTCGTGGCCTCAAAATTATGGGGTTGGAATTCGACATATGTTGTTAAACCATTTTTTTCAGTTGGAAGCTATTATATTGACGAACATGGATCGCTTAACTATCAAACTATTACAAATGACATTCCTATTCTTGTACTTATTTCAACGTCACTAATTGCAATCCAAATTACCGAGAGTCAAATATAATATTAAACCAGTAAGGAAAGTAGTAAAGGGTATAAAAAATATAAGGACGGGTTCTAGAATTTTTCGTACAATATTGTAAATTTTTACATGTTTGCCACTTTAAAATTCGTGTACACGTATGACGTATGATTATTATTAAGTTTATGTTTAACATTAATCATACGTCATATGAATAACATTGACAGAATATTAATAATTGTTCGTCGAACACGTAAAAAATCAACCCAACACGATAATCAATAAAAACAAAATTTAATAATGTTTAAACAATCTAATAACATTTAAATACGTTTAATGACTCTGGTAATAAAATGACAGCAGCAGCATAGGCATAATTTAAATGTTTGTTATATGTAGCCACGAATATGGAGTTATGTATGTAGATTGAGTTTTAACATTTGTTATCAGTTATTTTAAAAATAAACCAAGAAATGTGTTTTGGGCACGTTAGTTGGGATATGGTTACGTATATAAGGGTATTAGGATTTTAGATTGATGAAAAGGCCTACAGTAGGCGTGTGAAAAAACTATTTCCCAAATCGGCGATTTTCCAAAAATATTTTTTCAAAGGTCCGCCATTTTGTTAATTTTAGAGCGAAGTCAATAATCCTAGTTCATACGAGAGCCAGACATGTACTCTTTCTAACACCGTTGGAATTTTCGGATTCCGATGTTCCAGTAAGGAACGATGTTCCATGCCCGCCATCAAAAATAAGGACTTTTCTTTGATCACAAAAAAACAACAACAAAAATTTTTTGTAAATTGTTTTCTTCATTTTTAAATCTTCAACTATATATGTGCAAAGTTACAAACCGTAACAAGCATTGGTATTGATTTACCAGCCCATTGAAAATCTTGAAAAATTAAAATCGAGAATGGGTGGGGTTCCCTTAAGAAAAAACATGTGAAAAAGCGTTAAGTTCGGCCGGGTCAAACTTTTGATACCCTCCACCATAGATATACTGACAGGTACTTGAAATGAAAATATAGGGAAAATACCAAAAAGTGAACCTAAATCGACATTTCTACAATCCGATCATGTAAGCCATAATGTAAAATGTAAAACAAATTTCAGAAATTTTTAATGGATAATTATACCCTCAGCGTTATGTCTAATGAGGGTGTATACACTTTGACACGGTTAATATGTGCCTCATTGAAATATTGATTCTAGACCCATGTTTTTTTGGGCCAGCTTTGCTTCAGAAAATTTTGGTTTCATCCAAACTTTGCCCATCATATTATTTCTTCCAAATTTAGTTCAAGTTCAAAGATGGAGAATATAGGTCCACTCCTTCTGGTACCTCCCACACAGGGGCTAGGCCTAAACACGGGTTATAGTTCATATATAGTTCATTATCGAACCTTACGTTCTAGTTTTTTATCTCGATATCCTCCGCAGGTGATATGATTACAATAGAGTCTTAGAACCAAACCCAAAACGCGGAACAAATTGCATAACTATTTTAATATAAAAAGGAGGTTATATGGGGACTACTCCAAAAAGGGGGTGAATATTAATAATTTTTGGTAGTGACATTTTTTACCATATATGACTAGAAAATACCAATTTACAGCAAATTCGGTTGAAAACGCGTTGAAGAACCCCAAAATACTGAAAATTGGAGGTACCCTTATATGGGGGCTATACGAAAAAATGGACCTATACTCATAATTTTTTGTGGATATATTTTGTACCTATTAAGAACTCAAAATACTAAATAACAGATAATTCTCCGGAAAAATACGATCAAGACCCCCTAAATACTGAAAATTAGGAGGTACCGTTATATGGGGGCTACCAGAAAAAGTGGACCTATATTTATAATTTTTTTGTTGAGAAATTTAGTACCCAATAAGAACCTTATGTAGAAAATGTCAGGAAATTCGGTTGAAAAACGCGCTCAAGAACCCCAAAATACCGAAAATTGGAGGGTACCCTTATATGGGAGCTATGCCTAAACGGACAGACAGACGGACATGGCTATATCGTCATATAATTTTACGCTGATCAAGAATATATATATACTATATATATGATTATTTCGATGAGTTACAAACGGAAAAACAAAATTAATATACCCTCCATACTATGGTGGAGGGTATAACAAAATATTTTTTAATAAATGTTTAGGGAATATTTTTTTAAGTATTACCATAGTGTGCGTTATTAAGGGATGAAACAAAAATGTAAAAAAGTGATTAAAAAATTTTAGATGAAAAAAGTATGGTTGCGTTGAATTAGTTTATTTTGATTTTCTATTACTTTTATTTAAAAATATAATTTCTAATGATTTTGTTAAATCATGCTTTATTACAATATGATGTAAACCCATTGTTACTCTCCGTCGATGTGAAAGATGTAGTATCGGAGTTAACAGGGTGGTTCCTACTTTGTATTAGTTTTGTGTTAGTTTAACGTGATTCTTAGACACCCGCTAGCCAGAGTCGAATCCCTGTATGCGTATGGCACATAACCGAGATTATAATCTCCAACAAACCGCCGAACACAGAAGTTCACCCGCACATAACCATTTTTGTAAATAAATTTGAATTTAAAACGGAACAAAACTTGGACTACAAAATTAATCAAAATTGAAAAAGGAAAAGAAAGAAGATAAACATTGGTCCTTCTACCGTAAAATAAAAACACCAAAGCCGTGGAAGCTGTACGGAGATAATCATTGCCAACCAAAGCCGTGGAAGCTGGAAACGGAGCCATTACAGATCAAAAGGATTTTTATTTGGTAACAATAAGTACGAGGTGATCCAGGTACGTATTGTGGTTCGAAGCGCACATTGGTGGCTCAGAACAAAAAGTGAAAAATTTATTGATTTTTGAAGTATAAAAGTGTATTTTTATATTTATAACAATAAATTGGATTTGTGTGGCTCTGTGAGGGACATAGTAGGTTGTGTCTTTGTGATTATAAGTCCGAGCGTGCGTCAAGCGCCATAATACGAGAGTGCGTCAAGCGCCATAATCCGAGTGCGTCAAGCGCCATAATCCGAGTGCGTCAAGCGCCGTAATCCGAGAGTGCGTCAAGCGCAATAGTCCGAAAAGCGCCATTTTTGAAAAACCATTGTGTTTGATCATCTAGTATACGATTTTAATTGAAATTAGTGGTTTTTCTTTGAATACAGTAAAAAATAAGCGAGCATAATGGATAATTTTGAGAAATGCTTGGACTCTGGAAATGAAATCCTAAAAATAGAGGATAGATTAAGGGAAGAAGATTTTTCGGACTATTCTGCAGAAGCTTTGGATTTTGAGAAAAGTGAGTTTACTAAGGTTTGGACAAAATACAAGAAAGCTTATGATGAGTGTAGTTCGGAAGAAGGGAAAGAGAAGAAATTTGTGGCGATACAAACAAAGCATAAGGATGTAAGAAGATCCTATATAAAGTGTATAAACATAATTGCTGCCGCAAGAAAGACATTATTAGGGGAAAAGACTGTGGTCCAAAGTCAGGTGGCTCAATCTGTTCAAGGTTTTTCTTGTCCTGTCCCTCCGTGTGACACTGGAGTTTTTCATGGAAGTTATGAAACATGGCCAACGTTTAGGGACATGTTCACTGCTATCTACATAAACAATGCAAGGTTAAGTCAAGTTGAAAAACTGTTTTATTTATATCAAAAAACTGAAGGCGAAGCAAGAGAAATAAACAGAAATGTGGCCCTGACTGGAGATAATTTTGACATAGCGTGGAATAATTTGAAAATTCAATATGAAAACAAAAGGATTCTGGTTAATAGTCAATTAAAATTATTATTCAATCTGACACCGTGTAGTAGGGAATCAGCTGAGGAAGTGAAAAGACTTCAAAGAGAAGTGAACAATTGTATCTCAGTGCTAAAACTATATAATATTGATATAGAGACTTGGGATCCAATATTTGTGTTCCAGTGTTCCTCGAGGTTGTCCGAACAAACGCTTAATTTGTGGGAACAATCAGTGAAAAATAAAACAGAAGTACCATCGTGGACAGAATTAAATAATTTTCTCACAGATAGATTCCATGCTTTAGAAAGTGTCTCAGAGATTTTAAATAGCAATCAGTGTCCCATAGAATCGCAGTCATTTTCGCAAAAACATATGCAAACTTCTTCCAGATCTAAGCAGTATAAATCTCATCACACGAAATCTGATGTGGCTCAATGTAAATTATGTAAAGGAGTACACTCAATTGATTCGTGTTCTAAATTTTTAAATATGGATTTCAAAGGACGGACTTCGCTTTTAAGAAGATATAGATATTGCTTCAATTGTCTCACGATAGGACATATGTACAATGATTGTACTCGTCCAAATGGTTGCTCTAAGTGCAATAAAAAACATCACAATTTGCTCCATAGAGATTTTGTGAAGAAAAGTGAACAAAATAAAAGAAATGAAGTAGCTCAAGTTTCAAATAAAACATCTACACAATTACAGTCCATTGAAAAAGCAGGTCCCTCCAATGTAGCCCAAGTTCACCATACAGTAGTAGCGAAGAATGTAATGTTAGCCACTGCATGGATAAATATTGTTAGTTATGGAGTTTGCTATAAGGTGAGAGCTCTTATAGACCCATGCTCGGATGAGAATTTTGTTTCGGAAAAAATACAAAAATTGTTGAAGTTGCCCACTGTGCCCGTTACAGCTGAAGTGACAGGACTGGGAGGAGAAATAGTAAGCCGATCTAATAAGCTGGCGAGTTTTACTATTGAACCAATAAAAAATCAAGATATTTCATTGAAAGTGGAGGCTTTAGTAGTCAATGAAGTGACTGGAAAAGTACCGACTCACTCTATGAATTTGTTTGATAATTTTAATCTGCCTAAAATAAATCTAGCGGACCCTTGTTTCTACAAAAGTGGCCCGATTGATGTTTTGATAGGAGGGAATTTATATCCAGTTATACTGCGAGGTGGAGTTCAACATGGGATTTTAGAATCATTAGTTGCTCAAGAAACCATATTTGGCTGGATAGTAACAGGCCCGACGGTATCAAGAGTGCAAACGTGCCACACTAGAGTATGTCATGCAACAAAAGTGACCCTGGATGAACAATTAGCGAAATTCTGGGAGTTAGAGGAAATTTATCAAAGTCCTATAAGTTCTGAAGATGATAGGAGGTGTGAACAAATTTTTCGCTCTACTACTACAAGGAATTCTGATGGGAGATATGTTGTTGATCTGCCCTTCAGGGAAGGTTGTCCTTCGCTTGGTCCAAATAGATTTGTTGCTCTGAGACAATTTGAAAGAAATGAGAAGTCGTTGTTGCGTAAACCAGAATTGAAATCCAAATATGATGAGGTCATGAAAGAATATATAACGTTAGGACATATGGAGAAGGTTGATGATTCGGATTGTGTTCCTAGTTATTATTTGCCCCATCATGGTGTGTTCAAATCAGATAGTACTACAACGCAATTAAGAGTGGTATTTAATGGCTCAAGTATTTCATCAAATGGTCGAAGTTTAAACGATAACTTGTATATTGGTCCGACGTTGCAGCAAGATTTAGTGGCTCTGATAACAAAATGGAGATTTTATAAATATGTATTCAGTGCGGATATAACAAAAATGTACAGACAGATATTAGTTCACAAAAGACACACTAATTTTCAAAGAATAATATTGCGAGACTCTGAGAATGGAGAGATTCAGGATTATAGATTGAAAACGGTGACTTTTGGAGTAAATTGTGCTCCGTACCTGGCGTTGAGAACGCTTCTGCAGTTAGCTGATGATGAAGAGAAAAGTTTCCCAATAGGTGCAAAAATATTGCGAGAGGCAATGTATGTGGATGATGCCCTGGTTGGTGCGCATTCTATAGAAGAGGCATTGGAAGCTCGAGATCAGCTGATTGGAATTTTGAAAACGGCTATGTTTGATTTGAGGAAATGGACTTCAAATACAAAGGAAATTTTGGAAGATTTGCCATTGGAGGACTTGTTATCTAGTTCGTTTGTGTGTCTCGAAGAGGATAGCAGGGCGAAAATGTTAGGAGTTCGGTGGAATGCGGCATCTGATTGTTTCTATTTTGTAACGGAAGTCGTTCAAGTCAAGTCATCATATACGAAGAGACAAGTGTTGTCTATGATAGCTAGGATATTTGATCCAGCAGGATGGTTAGCGCCAATAATAATTACAGCTAAAATATTAATGCAGCAAATGTGGCTCGATCGAATACAATGGGATGAACCGATAAAACCATTAGCACTTCAGAAATGGTTAAAGTTCATTACCAACTTTGACAAAATTAACCTTATTTCTATTCCGAGATGGATTAAGTTTTCACCGAGTAATGTGGTTCAAATTCACGGATTTTGTGACTCATCGGAATTAGCATACGCTGCTACCGTTTATGTAAGGATAAAAAATGAAGACGGAGTTTTTTCGAATTTATTAATATCGAAGACAAAAGTAGCTCCAATAAAGAAGGTGTCCTTACCAAGACTAGAGTTGTGCGGTGCCACTTTGCTAGCGAATTTAATAGAAAGTGTCAGAATGAAATTGAAACAGAGCCAATTTGAGTTATTTTTGTGGTCCGATTCGACTATCGTCCTTGCGTGGCTCAGAAAATCCCCAAATTGCTGGAAAACGTTTGTAGCCAATAGGGTATCTAGTATTCTAAGCAAAGTTGGTAACATAGAGTGGAGACATGTTGTATCGAATTGTAATCCTGCCGATTTAGCAACCCGGGGGCTGACTCCTTCGGAGCTTAAGGATAATAAGTTATGGTGGCATGGACCAGAGTGGCTCATATTGGATGAGAATAATTGGCCAAGCGGTGTAACAGAATTTCAAACATCCTCGGAGGAAAAAAGGTCTCAATCTATGTTTGCTAAATCGTCAGAAATAGCGGATAGCTCGTTGAAAGTAAGTGGTGGCAAGCCGGAAGAAACGGAGAAAGTGACAGGAGACTCAGGTGAACCTCTAAAGGCAAAGGAGAAACCAAAAGTGCAGGATTTTTTGTCGAATATATCTACTTTTCAAAAGGCGATTCATGTTGTAGCTAGAATGTATCGTTTTGTATCTCTTGCTCGGAAGTCGGATTCAAATCCTGAGATGTTGTCTTCAGGAGAGTTGTCCATGGCTAGAAAAGGTATATTTATATGGTCGCAGAAACAATATTTTTCAAAGGACTACGCTAGCCTAACAGCCAAGACCAGACTGAGTCCCAAAAGTCCATTGATCTGTTTAAACCCATTTCTAGATCAAGCTGGCATCATCCGGGCTAATGGCCGCTTAGGTTCCACGACGTGTTTGACATACAACGAACGGCATCCGGTGATTCTGGCATATGAAAGCAGGATAGCAAGACTTTATGTGGAGTTCGTTCATAAAATCACTTGCCACGGTGGTATCAGATTGGTAATGACGACCGTCCGCTTAGAATGTTGGGTCATCAGACTTAAAAGCTTGGTGAAGAGTGTTATACACAATTGCAAGGTCTGTGTTTTACACCGTCAGAAGCTGATGCAACAAATTATGAGCGTGTTGCCCCCCGAAAGAACGACTCTGAGTCGAGCATTTACTAATACGGGAGTAGACTTTGCCGGACCGTTTGAGATAAAGAGTTTTACCGGTCGTTATAGCAGAATTACCAAAGGATATGTGTGTCTCTTTGTATGTTTCGCAACTAAGGCAATCCATTTAGAGGCAGTCAGTGACTTGTCTACCCCAGCCTTTCTGGCAGCATTAGATAGATTTGTGGCTCGAAGAGGTTGTCCAAATTCCATGTACTCGGATAATGGCAGGAACTTTGTGGGAGCTGCGCGGCAAATCGACTCAAACTTTGCCCAACAAGTTAAATCGTTTAAGGACGAGGCTGTCAATAAATTTGGTCATCAAAGACTTTCTTGGCATTTCATCCCTGCAGCAGCTCCTCATATGGGCGGACTCTGGGAGTCGGGAGTGAAAAGTTTTAAGACCCACTTCAAAAAGCTTTCTGGTCAACTTAAATACACCTTCGAGGAGTTCTCCACATTATTAGCGACGATTGAGGCATGTCTCAATTCTCGCCCTCTCGGATCCATGTCTGAAGACGTCGAGGACCTACAAGCACTCACGCCAGCTCACTTTTTAATTGGTTCCTCTATGTTGACCCCAGCGGAACCAGAAGAAATTAAACCTGTAAGCAGTATCTTCAACCGTTGGCGGAAACTGAAAGCAATTCATCACGATATATGTCGCAGATGGAAAGAAGAATATTTGGTGGAACTACATAAGAGATATAAGTGGAAAAATCCTCATAGTGACTTAATCGTCGGTGACTTAGTGGCTCTCAAAGGAGAATCTCTTTGCTCAACTGATTGGCGCCTAGGGCGAATAGTCAAGGTCTATCATGGTTCTGATGACAAAGTTCGAGTAGTTGATTTGAAAACCCAGGGTGGCATAATTACTAGACCCATTCACAAATTAGTACTCTTACCCCGTAGCTCACAAATCTAAACCATTACTTTATATTTTACCTTAATTTAATTCAGTTGCTATTTCCAGGATGAAAACTATTGGTGGTCCTTTTAACATGAATTTTCCCTGTCCGCTTTGTGGCCGTCCTCATGCAATTCGACTTTGTACTACCTTTTTGGCCTTAGACACCAGCAAAAAAAGAGACTTCGTGATGAATAACAGGCTGTGCATAAATTGTTTAGCGTCGTCCCATGAGAGATCGACATGCCGGAGTCTTGATGTCTGTAAATTATGCAATGGTTTCCACCACAGCTTTCTGCACCGTATGACGGATGAATATGTTTGGTTCCCGATGACAGCAATGGTCAGAATTTATACCTGTTATGGTCGGCGAGATCAAAATACCAGAGTGCTGCTCGATCCCAATTCGAAATATTCTTATATTGCCTTGGAAGAAGCCCTTGATATGTACTGTCTGATGGACAACGAAAGAACTACGGTTGTGTTACAACATCAGAGTGTAGACCGAAAAAAGATCAAGGTTGAATTGGTGGTTCGCGATCGCGTATTTGGGGTTACTCCGACTGCACGGATTGATAAAGAGGCTAACATGTTTGCCAACCCTCCCGGTAATGTGATCGACGCAGATAGATATTGGAACCGGTCGTCGCCGTATTTTGTGATTCTGGGAGCCGAAGCCTGCAGAGCAGTTTTTGTGGGACCACCTATGGTTCAGCCTGGCCGTATTTTTATCCAGGATTCCATATTCGGCCGACTATATTTTGGTGAAGGCAAGAAGGTGCCGATTACGAGCCGATTGAATTGAATTTGATACCTGATTAAACCCAAAACCAAACAAAAACCAAGAGAGACTGAATTCTATACTTTTAATTTCATTGTTAAATATCATTTTGTTTTCTAGTTTTCTAAGACATACTGAATTAAATTGTTTACTTTAAGACACTATTGTTAAGATTGTATTTGGGATTCGAAAATGGTTAGTGGTGGCTCTGAGATGTTGTTGCACTTTAGTGCAAGGCGGGCGGTATGGTTGCGTTGAATTAGTTTATTTTGATTTTCTATTACTTTTATTTAAAAATATAATTTCTAATGATTTTGTTAAATCATGCTTTATTACAATATGATGTAAACCCATTGTTACTCTCCGTCGATGTGAAAGATGTAGTATCGGAGTTAACAGGGTGGTTCCTACTTTGTATTAGTTTTGTGTTAGTTTAACGTGATTCTTAGACACCCGCTAGCCAGAGTCGAATCCCTGTATGCGTATGGCACATAACCGAGATTATAATCTCCAACAAACCGCCGAACACAGAAGTTCACCCGCACATAACCATTTTTGTAAATAAATTTGAATTTAAAACGGAACAAAACTTGGACTACAAAATTAATCAAAATTGAAAAAGGAAAAGAAAGGAGATAAACAATTGGTCCCAATTTAAAGGTCAACCACATTTGTGTGAATGTCATTACTCCCAACTAAATATTATTATACAGATTTATATACCTTAGGAAATGAAGATACCCATGGATAGTCACTCCATCTTAAATCTCTACAGTTGCCTGATACAATCATGAAAAATTATAATGCTTCTAAAAAATATATAATTTTAATACAGCTTGTGCTTGATGTTCCTAAGAAGCACTTAATTTTTTTGCATGGATACACCTCAATATTATTAACACAAAAATAAAACAAAAATCAAAAAACTCCTTCATACAGGTATTATCCGTCTGAGTAAGATGAAGTTTGTGTTGTATCATGATAACAAAAGAACAAACATTGCGTTGATTATTTTATTACGTTTCTTCGTTTTGTTTTTCCGTCGGCTATTATCTGGGTCATTTTGTACCCTTCTTCATAATCTTGCATAGCTTTAATGAGCAACAATACAATAACCACAACGGCAAATGTTTAATAAAACCAGTAAGAAGAGTAGTAAAGTCGGACTGGGCCGACTGTATGATACCCTTCACCACTTTGGGTATATTCTACATATGTTTCCTAACAGACGACGGGTTTTTGTTATATATCTTTATCTGTACCGATTTCAGGGAAAATTTGCCAGAGGCTAATTTATATTAAATCAGTACGTTGTGTCAATCGGCCTATCTATGGATCTTTTCACGAAACTTAACACACGTCATTCTAGCCATAATTCAGTACGCTATGACAAATTTCGTGCAAATCGAATTATTTTCAGAGACTTTGGTGCACCAATTACCTAAAATTAGATGAAAATATATATGGAAGCTATAACTAAATCTGAACCGATTTTCACGAAACTTTGTACCCATCATTCTAGACTTAATTCAGTACGCTATGATAAAATTCGTGCAAATCGAAAGATCTTTTACTTAAATCGGGCGAAACTATATATGGGAGCTATATCTAAATCTAAACAGCTTTTCATGAAACTTAGCACAAATTATTATAGACGCAATTCAGTACGATATGCCAAATTTGGTGCAAATCGAAAGATCTATAGGGACTTTGGTTCACCAATTACCTTAAATTGGATGAAAATATATATGGGAGCTATATCTAAATCTGAACCGATTGTCTTTGCATACATCATTCTAGACTTAATATAGTACGCTATGCCAAATTTCGTGCAAATCGAAAGATCTATAGGGACTTTGGTACACAATTTACCTTAAATCAGACGAAAATATATATGGGAGCTATATCTTAATCTGAACCGATTTTCACGAAACTTGACAGACATCATTTTATACCTTATTCATACGCTGTGCCAAAGGATTTCCAGGGACTTTAGAGGACTATTTACCTAAAATTGGGCGAAGTTATATATTGGAGCTATATCTAAATCTGAATTGATTTTCACTAAACTTTGCACACATCATTCTAGACTTAATTTAGTACGCTGTGCCAATTTTCGTGCAAATCGAAAGATATATACGGACTTTGGTACACAATTTACCTTAAATCGGACGAAAATATATATGGGAGCTATATCTAAATCTGAACCGATTTTTACTAAACTTTGCACACATCATTTTAGATCTTATTCATTACGCTGTGCCAAATTTCGTGCAAATCGAAAGATATATAGGGACTTTTTTGCATCATTTACCTTAAATCGGACGACAATATATATATGGGAGCTGTATTTAAATCTGAACCGATGTTTCCCAATTTCAGTAGTGTTCGTTCTTGGGCCAAACAAATGAGCAGTGCCAAATTTCATCCAATTGGGATCATAAATGCGACCTGTACTTTGTGTACTGTTTAGCATGGACAGACGGACGGACGGATATTCATAAATCGACTCAGAAAGTGATTCTATGCATATTCTCAAAAGGAACCATGGGTCTGTCTTTATTATTTTTGGCTGTTACAAACATATGCACAAAGACATGATACCCTGAACCACAGTGTGGTGAAGGGTATAAACATGGGGAATATCAGCATAATTTATTGTTGTTCCATTCTTTTGCTCCGCTCTCTTCCTTGAACAAAAATAACGAACATTTTTATAGCTTTCATCTATTAACGTCCATGCTTAGCAACTTTTAAATATGCCAAACAAAAGAAAACTTTGCAAAGAATGTTGCTTAATTAGAGAAATAACTTTAAAGCTATTTTACATTAGCAGCGACAGAAACATCATCAGAAGAAAGAACGCATTAATGTTAGTGGTTCATTTTGAAATTTTAGGTTTCAAAAGAAAACGAAAAAGAAAACATAATAATAATTCTCGGTTATCCCTCACAGTGCCACAAAAAATGCAAATTATAGGATGAGCAATGTTAATATGGGGTTTTATACACCAGTCATTGGTTGGATGCAATAAAAACACTTTGGTCATGTTTTGGTATATTTTCCTCTTTGTTAACAGCGCATTGCCTTTTTTCCATACAAATTATTTATTATTTTATTTATTATTTTATTATTTCACGCTTTTACATTTAAGCCGATTGTAAAATAAATTGTAGAGCATTTGATTAACAACTTGTCCACAAGAACAAGAAAATCCGACTTTTTTGTATTTCATGGAAAATATGTTTGTTAGCTAAATGTATTGCAAATTTTTTTTAAATTTTATAATTTAAAGTTCGTAGAAATTTCCAAAAAAGTTATAAAAATACAGGGGATATTTTAATAAAAACCAGTAAGGAAAGAGGTAAAGTCGGACTGGGCCTTCACGGGACTGCCTTTTCGAAGGAAAATTGACATGAAATTGAACGAACTTAAGTATGTGAACCTATTCTATACCTAAACTAAATAACATCAAACCCTACTCATGCTACTCTGCAACCTATGATAAAATTTGTAAATCGACTTTAAGCAAACTTAATACTAGCTATTTGGTATGCTGCACTGTTTAAAATTTTATCTCAATCAGACACTCATTGAAATTTGGTGTACAATAAACTTGAATAGGTCGAAATTATATATGGAAGCTATGCTTTATCCAAATCTCAACCTATTTCAAGGAAACCTAATAGAGATTAATTTGTGTTAACTTTAATATGTTGCGTCCATCGGCCTAATAAGAGTCTTAGTCAAATAAGACGAAAATATATATAGAAGCTATATGTAAATCTGGACCGATTTCAAGAAAACTTAACACACGGAAAGTTAATCTAACTTAAGATCATTGTACAAAATTGCACAAATTACATAAAATCGGAAGAAAATATTTAGGGGAGCAATATCAAAATCTGAACCGATTTTTACGAAAATTAGCAAACATCATAAGAAAAATATATAGTGGCTTTTGTGCTCAATAACATAAAATCGGACGAAAATATGTATGGGGGCTAAGTCTAAATCTAAACCGATTATTACATACGTAATTCTAGGAAGGAAAATGTTGGGGCTTTTGTACACCACATACATAAAATCCGACGGAAATATATATGCGAGCTATATCTAAATCAGACCTGATTTTCTCGAAACTTTCTAGACTCAATTAAGTACGCAATGCAAATCGATAGGTATATAGGGACTTTGGTGCACCATTTAAATAAAATTGGACGAAACTATATACGGGAGCTATATTTAAATTTGATCCGATTTTCACGAAACTTAGTACACATCATTCTGTACCTAATTCAGTACACTATGCTAATTTTCGTGCAAATCGAAAGATATATAGGGATTTTGGTGCACTGTTTACCTTAAATGGGACGAAAATATATATGGAATCTATATCTAAATCCCACCAGATTCCTCGAAACTTGACGTCATTCTAGACTCAATTCAGGACACTATGCAAAATTTCGTGCAAATCGAAGGAAATATAGGGATTTTGGTGCACCATTTACATAAAACCAGACAAAACTATATACGGGAGCTAATCTGATCCCAATTTTCCGAATGTTAGAACACATCATTCTGGACTCAATCCAGGACACCATGCAAAATTTCGTGCACGTCAAAAGATATATGGTGCACCATTTACATAAAATCGGACGAAAATATACATGGGGTCTATATCTTAATCTGAACTGATTTTCACAAAACTTAGCACATTCGGTACCTAATTCAGTACCATATGTCAAATTTCGTGCAAATCGAGCTATATCTAAATCTGATCCGATTTCAATAGGGATTCATCGTTGGGCCAAAAAGGTGACTTGTGCCAAATTTCATATAAATCGGATCATAAATACGACCAGTACTTTGATTACAATTCAACATCCACAGACGGACGGGCTCGCATAATTCGACTTAAAAAGTAATTCTATGCATATTCTCAAAAGAAACCATGTGTCTATCTCGTTTACTTTTCCCTGTTACAAACATATGCACAAAGACATAATACACTGTACCGCAGTGGGGTGAAGGGTATAAGAAGGGGGTTATATGGGGACTACCCTAAAAGGTGAATATTAATAATTTTTATTAGGAAGATTTGTTACTATATACGACTACAAAGTACTAACTAATGCGATTTCGGTTGAAAACGCG